ATTCTATTCTATTTTAATTTATTCATCTTCCACATGCCTCTAACTAGTCCTTTGCGCTCCTATCTCGAGGCACGTCTCACACTTTGGAAAACACTGCTCTAGCGTAGCTAGTTCACATTGGCACTATTTTTTCAGTGAATATAGGTATACATTTTCAGAAAAAGTATAGATTTATTTTTTATGAGCACTGCAATATTGTGGACTTGTATAACTAAAGCACAAAGTAAAAAGAGCTCAACAAGGCTTGACTTTAATTTGATTAAAATAAAAGCATTACTTCATATTTTCAATTTTGTTTTGAAAACAGTCTTACATTTTTGGTATGGTATATAACTTTCAATTGAAGAAATGGTTAGAGCACAAACAAATGATGCTCTTATTTTGGAATTAGCTTTTCATACTGTTCTGTAGAATCTGAGTATGCAGTATGATCAATTTTTTTAAAACGCTGTTCTAATAGACATCAGTATTTTAACATTTGTGACATTTGATTTGTTTGCTTTAAAAAGAGACTTGCACATCAGAGCAGACTTTAAAAATGCAACACTCACTCAGATCTTTCTGTTTAATGTGGTATTTCACATATACTTGTACTGAATAAAAGCTTATTTCCACAGTCAATCTCTCCACTTGAACCTGCACTGAACTCTTAAGCCTATGTTTGTGATGACATAGTCTGTTTCATTGGTCATAAATTCAGTATTATGACTTCACAGCAAGGTCAAGAAGGAAGAGAAAAATAGTTGCAAAAGATCCAAAGCCATATGTAGTTAACTAGTAAACGAAGCAAACACATGAAAAACAAGAGGAGAGTAAATAATTAAATCAGGATTTATGTTAAAAGGTTCCCAATTTAAATCCAACTGTAAATATTCTTTAAGTGATTGTCTGCATGTATTCCACTTCTGATGCTCATGTACCCCATGAGTGCAAGATCAGAATCTTTTGAATAGCAGTGTCCATAGGGGCATGCTAGCACCTTGTTGCCAGGGTGGGATGGCCACAACCACTCTCCAGTTTACCACCTATGGCTGGAAGACAGAATACCTGCAGTGTCCATGTCTCTGTACACTGCACGATTTAGCTTTTCACTTAGTTATAGTTTTAATTAGTTTTATCCTATTGGCCCATTGGCATTTTTAAAAAAGATTTTAGGGTTTTTAAGCCCCCATGCCATCTCCAACACCAGACCACGCTGGACATAGCAGAGTCCAAATCCCCAGGATTCAAGACCTGCTACTCTTGCGTGGGAGTAATACACATCAGTGATGGACCCTCTACGTGCCTCTTTGGTCTGGGGAAATGTATATGCTATGAAAGTGGTTTATATTTTGTTCCTTCTCTAAAATGACGCAGAAGTCCAGGGAGTCTCAACTTAAGCTCATCCTCCTTCAGAGCCCCATGAAAGCAAGAAGACTTCCTCCAGGTCAGACCACCTCTCAGAGCTCCCTGGTAAGCCACCAGTACACTCCAGTCTCCTGATTCCATTTGATGCCGATGAAATCCCATTCCTCCACCATGGAGTTAGCTAGAAGTTCCTTCACCTCTTCAGCCCAATCCTCTGAAGAGAAAGGACAGAGGGAGCAACATTATCATGGTAAGCGGAGATGTAGAGCTTCTGTCTGGCCCCAAGCAGATCTAGCTTATGACACAGTTTAAGGCCCAGATCGGATTCTGCTAAGTCCTTGGCACTGATTGGCCACTGACCAGCCTCAACATACTCTCCAGCCATCAATATACCTGGTACCAGCAGCTTTGGATCAAAACATCCAGCACCAAAACAGCACACACCAAAGCAGCCAGCACTGGAGTACACGACACTGAAGCCAATGGTGTAAGAACACTCGTTGAACCTTCTGGCACTGATGCTGAAAACCCCAGCACTGAAAGAGCACTGTCTGACTGAAACTCTGGCTTTGTACCAAATACCTTAACATCAACTGCTTCCACAGCTTATGCTCAAATAAATTGGTTAGTCTCTAAGGTGCCACAAGTACTCCTTTTCTTTTTGCTTCCACACCAGTCATCCTTTCTTCTGTGTCTTCACTTGGGGAGCCTCTCTTCATGGTACCTGTGCTGTTCACGGTACCAGTTGATGGTACTGGACAAGCCTGAGTCTCTATTTGCTGTCTTTTGCTAAAAAAGTATCTGCTGTGGTACTGGTACTGCCTCCACAGGAGCTGCCTATCCTTCCTGAATATTCACCCATGGAGGAGGTATGTTCCTTCTCCTCGCTGGACTTGAAGGACTGGAGTGATATGTCACCTAACTAGGTGCCTCAGTCCCCAATCCCTACATCATCTGAAAGGAGAAACTACAGGACAGTTGTGAGCATTACACTGCATGGTACCTGTCATGGCCCACAGCCCCTTTCTAGAATCCCATATAGTCGTGGCCTTCTGGGGCCCACGGGGGATGCACTTTAGTCACAGGGTTTCGACTGCCTCTCAGGTGACTAGAACAAAGTCACCCTCCCCTTGTAGACTTCTAGAGGGTCACTGCACTCAGCAGGCACCTCCTGCACCATATGCAGAGTGAACAGGAGAACTTACAGCAGATAGAAGCCCAAAGGGTCCCAAAGTTGATCTCATCCTTTTCACTTACCAATGCTGTGACCCCAGTTGTTCCAACCCCACTTGATAACTACTGGATCTTCTAGGAACTTCCCAGGAGGGTAGACAACACATTGGAATTCCTGGTCAAGAGACCACATGAAAAGTCAGACAAACTACTCGGTATCCTGCAGTAGTTGTTCTCTGGGAGACTGGCAGTACCAATAAGTGAGGGCTTATTGGAACCAGCCAGGCATTTTTGGAAGATTGCTGTTCCCATGGCACCTACATCTTAGAAATCAGACATGTCCCTTCTAAGGGCTTTGAATATTTCTTCAACCTCCAGACACCAGATTCTCTGGTCATAGCCATGGTCCACAAGAGGTACCAGCAAACAGGGGTCCACTGAAGTGACTCCCAGGGATAAGGCCCTAAGAAGTTGGCTGGAGGTTGAAACTCATTAGCCAGTCTATAAATGTGCATTGTAAACTAACAAGTGCTCCTGGCAAAATACAGCTACCTGAATTGGGCCTGGTATCCCAATTAAAAGATTAACTCCCACAGGAGTATGGAGAGGAGATGCTCAAGGCATCCTGGTTGCAGTCTTTGGGAATACTGAATGAGGTTCAAACAACCATCCTTCAAAGGCTTTGCCCTCAGTGAGGCTTTTCACATGTTGAAGGACTTACAGTGACCTTTCCCTCCCTGTCCATACACACGCTATCTCCCAGAAGGAGAGAGTACTAACTGTAGGCCTTGTTGGAACCCCAGGCATAACTAACAGTGTGAACCTAAGGCTGTGAACCAAGGTAGGCCTGGCCTTGGCAAAACTAGCAAACTAGGTTATTGGCTAACCAAGTAGGCACTTTTCTGACTGGAGAGGATGGTACAAGAACACCCAGAATTCTCAAGTAATTACATGAACACTTTCATAAGAGATGGTACAGGAACACACCGTTCCCTTGTAAGATAAGGATGAGATGACAGGATAATGGATAATGATGTTTTGTTCACAGTAGCAGGTACAAGGAGAAGGGTGGTAACTAGCAATGTCTGGAATGTAATACATAACTTGTTTGTATCAATGTAAAAAAAGGAGAAATCATAGGAGGGGCATCTTTGGCCAGATGTGGGGGCAGCATCCTGATGCACTGTCTGAGCTGGTACCATTGTTGCTGGTACCATTGCTCACCAGCTTCTGGTGGAAGACCACACTGTTTTCTCTCATTCAACAATAGCTGGAGTTCTCAAAGGTCTCATTCATGTCTTCCTGCCATTCAGGGAGACTCCACTTCCTGAAACCTCAACATTGTTTTAGCAGGCTAAATGAGACTTCAGTATATTCCTTGTACCATCTATTCATGAAGACTGCTTTCCTAGGGGCTATTACATCAGCCAGGAGAGTAGGTGATATTTCAAGGCCCTCATGGTGGAGCCACCTTAAGCTCCATTCCACAGTGACAAAGTGACTTTAAGACCTCAGCCCAGGTTTTTACCCAGAGTTGTTTCTGACATTCATTCTAACCAGATGATCCACCCATACTGTCTTCTTCCCCAAGCCTCACATTACCCTGTGTGAAGATAAACTCCACCCCTTGGATGTTGTCAATTCTCTCTCTTACAATCTGGACAGAATAAAGCCATTTAGGAATTCTTCTAGATTGTTCCTAGTATTTTTCAACAGAATGAATGGTCAGCCTATCTCTACTCAGGCTGTCAGATAAGTAACCAATACATCCTGAAGTCCATTTCAATGTTATACATAATTATAATATCACATAAAATTATTTTATGTATAAAGTACAGTATATTTTTTGTTTTATGAGTAGGTAAGAGCCTTCCAATATAATTACTTACACTGAACTAATATAACATTGTAAAGTGATAGAGGTAAATTACCTTAGTGAACAATGTATCACAATTACGTTTTTGTGGGGATGTTACTTTGGTGCAGTTAAAATTGTAGCATTGACTTATAGAGCCCTGCGCGGATACCAACATTTGTATCTGCATTTGATCCACAAGCTGTATAAATTGTCTGCAGATTTGCGGGGCTGTACATAACAGCTCCACAGGTCACCACACAACAGTGACACAGGGCTGTGCCAAACCCTCAACTGCCCCCCACTTGTCCCTAGAGACCTCTTGCCTCATGCACATCCAAGCTGTGATCCATAAGAATGGTCTGTGGATACCCATAGATTTGCAGGGCTCTATTGACTTGTTCTTCCAGTTTTGACTATTATTTATAACATTTTACTGTGTATTTTTTACCTCTTTACATTTTAGCATTAGTGAAAAATTAAAGCAAGCAAGTTCTCAAATATAAGTGCTAGAATGCATTTTGCATGTTTTGGAAAACATTCCACATGAACTTTATTTATGTATGTATGTATGCATTTATTTATTTATTTATTTACTTACTTATTTACTTATTTATTGGCACAGTGTTCACTTGGCAAGAAGGTTACTGCAGCTAGAAAAGCAAAACTCATTGCTTGTAAAAGATCTGGAACATCAGAAAGAACAAGTCACACAGATTTCACAAGAGGTAAATTACTTCCACAAAAGAAAAAAATATATAACGAGACTATAAATATTGCAGAGTAGTCCTTTACAGAATAGTTATTTTCTGAACAAAGTTTATTATGTATTTGCTTGCTGTCTAAAAATTACCTTACAATTAACAAAAACACATTTATGCTAAACCTTTTCAAAGCAATTTATAGTGTATTGTAAAACAGAGATCAAAAGGAGAGATTACTTTACAGACTAAACAAAAATGTAGGCTAGACAAAAATATAAGCTCTGATTTCTGAGCAGATGACTAACTAGCAAAACTAGTTTGGTATTTTCTATGATGGTTAATTTTTCAACTAGTACCTCATTACTTCTGACACAGGTCTGCTTTTTTAAATCACTTTTTAAGATATTACTTATCTGTTATAGCTCCCTACTTTTGCTATATTTGTTCAGGCCCTTTAGTCTCTTAACACACAAATTTAGGTTATTTCTGGGTGATATCTGATAATATCATTATGCTAATTACTTTCAGGAAAGTTCTGTATTCTGTTTTTTAAAAAATGTTCCCTAATGTAATGTTAGTTTAATGATTGATGAGTATTTATATATTTTACAGTACATTATTTTTATCACTTTACTAGCTAAAGTCATATTACTTGACATGGAGAGTGAATAATGAAAACAGAGTGAAATCCCACAGACTCAAATTCAGTAATGCCTAGAAATTTTTACATTTTCCTTCAGACTCTCATTTTAAGAATGAAAGAGCTTCATTAATCTTAAATTATCAGAGGTGACATTACCACCTTATTGAAGTCCCAGGCAGATTATGCTTTAGTTGTGAGGTTTAATAGTTTGATTTTAAGATTATCTTACCACTTAATTTGAATAACAGAACTATACTGTATTCTTACAAATGTCCCTTTAATTTGGAACAGCTCTGACTGACATTTTTAGGTGACAAGTTTTGAGGCCTGTCAATCATAAAACTTTAAACACTTTAAAAGCTGTTTTAATTATGTTGAAGGTAAATTTATATAATTTCACATTGCCAGCCACAGTTTGAATTGGGATGGCATGCAGAGGAACAGCATACCCCTACCTCTCTCAAGTTTCCTTCATGTGCTCCAGAAACTAAACTTTTATTGGTTCAAACTCCTGAGTGAATGAAAGCAGACAGAGATTCTGATTAAAGCCAAGGATACAACTTTTCATAATTACACCAGAGAGGTAGGGAAAGGACATCTGGCAGTTACTTCCAAGAAGACCACTGGGCTGATTGTGCCCGCAGAAGATCCCATACACAGCTGTAAAGACAGAGCAGTCCCCCTCCTGCAAAATCTCCCCAAGGATCAGGAACAAACATTTGCAGATTCTCACTCTCTGTGCATGGAACGAGGCTTTAAACAAGGAGTGCCACAGCACCAGACACTGAAGCAATCGTTTGCCATACAATGCACAATGGACCGGCCCATTCCATGTCTACACCAGCAACTCTGATCCCCCTACTACCTGCACAGGACACTTGTATACAGTTGCAACAAATGGCTATCAGTACCACAGTGCCATCCCCCACATCCCTGGCCAAATCCTGTGTTCTGTGAAGAAAAAGAAGAACCTATATCACTAGCCGCCACTATGCAATTTAGGAAAAGTTCTTCCTAGCCCCCTAATAGGGCCCTGGCAAAAATCCAGAGGTGGGAAATCTAGCTATAATAACAGAAAAGGGGAAAAAATAAATGCAAGGGAAGGGTGTTTGAGTTCAGCAGTCCATGCCTGTGAGAAACAATATAAATTGTCCACCCCTCTGTGCCTTTGGACCAGTCAGATGTCCCTGCAGCCCACTAATGGGGCAATCAGGCTTCAGGGGTGGGAAATAATGGCCTTTAAGCTCTTATGAAGACCTCCCCATGCGTGAGGGTGCCAAAGAGGATTTGGAGGAGCAGCACTTTTTCCTTCCCCTTGCTGGTCAAGATCCCAGGAATGTCTTTTTTCCTGCCGAATTTCCTTCCCAAATTAGGCAGCGCTTTTTATTAAATCCCTTGTGATTACAAGGAAAACTGTCTAAATGTGAATGGAGTGTAAAAATGTAACATAATGTACCCAAGTTTGTAGAGAGCCTGAAACAGTAATAATTCTTGAGAGGTCTGAGCTGATCCTGTTCATTTTAGTGCGTTATTAATTCAGATATTTACTGATAATTAAGTATCAAAATTAACTATTTCACTTTTGTACAAAGTCTGTAGGAAAAGAGAGGGGGATGATCTTTATAGTAAGGTCCATGCAATCTATTTAGGCTCTACGAGTGTGTATTGTTTGGGAGAGTACAATCCCTTATTGCCTCTCTCTCTCTCTCCCCCTTCCCTCCCCCCGCAAAATCATGAATGAACCAAACCTAGTGTTTCTGTCAGAGCTTCACAGGGCATCTGAGCCCAAAGGAGAGGGAGTCAAGCCCCGCAGAGGACACATGATTATATTTTTAATATATGTCCAATCTACTAAGAGTGGGATCTCATGTTGGTATCTCAGACTGAGAGGGGCTTATTTTTTCACTGAAGCTTGGAAGGTTGCCATTACCTTTTGATTTCCAGTTGGATTCCTTTTGTGTCCTCACTGAAAATGGGGATGGAGGAAAGGTGGGAAAGCTGATATTCTCTTAAATGTGAATTGAGGAAATTAGTTTGAGATCAAATGAAGAGAATGTGAAATTCCAAGAGACCCCTTAAGCACTGACCACTATGGTAATAGTTCTGTATTATCTAGGCTTCAGTGATATCCTTCTTTGACCCAAGTATGACTGTAGCTCTGCCAGGTGTTCATGGCTTATGGCTACTCACATGTTTAAAGTTATGGTTTTGAGACATAGGGTAAGTGATCATAAACCAAGGAAAAATATTTTCTGTTTACTGGTGAAGACTGTGAAGAAAATAAAAATTGTTTCAAGTCAGAAGCTGAAACAATGATAATTCCTTAAAAACAAAAAATTGGGTTTGGTTTGGTTTTGATTTTTTGTAATTTCATGCTGAAGAATATTCCTGAAAGTTTGGGTTTAAAATAGCACTATCATATAAAAAAAATTTTTTTTAAAGTCATCTGATTTGTTAACATGGGAGATTTGAACTTTTGAAATTATTGTTAAATTAGTATTATATCACAAACAAATAGGGAAATCTTAGTGATTCTGTTCACCTGATATATTAAGCCACCTTCTATCTTTTCATAGGCTCTTAAGCAGATGAGCACTTAGGGCTTGATCCACAGCCTACTGACTTCAACTAATTTTAAACATTTATTTTTAGACGTTCCTGTACAAGGCTAAAACACTGTGTTTAATACTACACACAAAGCTCCTCTGATTATCAAGTAGAATGGAAGCTAGCTTCTCAAGGACAGAAGGTTCCTATTCTGCTGGTGTTACATGTGGTATCTCTCTTCAGAAAGATGGCTACCATAAGCAGGAGGTTTAGAAATATACATTATATTTAGTAAAATTGTATTCAGTGTTCTTGTCGCTGTTTTGGACCTAAAGAAGAGCTCTGTGTAGGCTCAAAAGCTTTTCTCTCATCTACAGAAGTTGGTCCAATAAAAGATATTACCTCACCCACCTTGCCTCTTTAAGTCAGTAAAATTAACAGTTACTATACAATGAGAAATTCATTTCTTACATTAGAAATTTATTTAAGGCTACAAAGAGGTAGGCAAGGGTTGGAGATTCTAAAAAATCAAGTAGAGCAGTGAAACCATTGAAAAAAGATTATCTGTTGTCTTTTTTCTTTTTTCTTTTTTCTTTTTTTGTTACAAGGACTAACACTGAGAAATTATTGACAGAATATATATGTGACCTGATACATTCATATTTATCTCTGTAGTGTTTGTTTCCAAGAAACCAGTAGTAAATGAGTCGTAGCATCATAAAGAAATGAGAAACTACTTAAGCCCTCTATGTCTTAATCTGCAACCAGAAAAAATATTTTGAATTTTTTTTATTGTTAATCTATTTTTTCTGATTCTCATTCACCCTTTCATATGCTAAAAAGAACACTTAAAATTGGCAGTTTTCCATTTTACAAAGTATAGCCCCAATCTTACAAAGACTAGTTAACTTTAAGCATAGTTGTAGTACTGTTGAACTTAGTGAGACTACTCACATGTTTAAAGTTAAATGTTTGTAAGATTTTTCAAGATCAGGGCCTGTGTGCAGTAATTAAAACGTATGGGTTGCCATTCTTGCTCAGGTCAAATGGAACCAGTACTGGAACTCTCTGTCTTGGAATTGAGGACTGTTATGTACACCTGAGCCTGCAAGTCCCCATGGTTTTTCTTCCAATATGTAGGCAAAATTAGAGCTCCTACATGAAACGTTTACTTCTCAACCTTCCTTAGGATCTCCAGTATTCTTTACTTTGACCACATTTAAATTTAATATTTCTGTCTCTTGGTTCTTCCCATTTTTTGGTAGTTCATTTTCTGGTCTTCCTCACTGTATGTTCCCTTGCCAGGTAAGTCTTCTGCTTCCACTTTTACCACTTATCAAAATACAGTTCTGACACATCCCTCTGTTCTAGTGGACAAATCTCAGTGATAGTTCTTCGGTTGTTGATAATAGTCAGGTCTAGAGATGATTCTGACAAATATAGCAAAAATAAGCGACTCAGCAACATGAAGGCAGATGAAACTAAATGTAGACAAGGGCAAGGTAATGCATATTGAAAGAAACAATCTGAATTACAATTATAGCATATAATTAAACTTTGGAAGTCATTATTTAAAGCAGGAGTGTAGCTGATTCAAAGAAGGATTCGATATTTTCATGATCACTAAGATCATCAGATGCAACATGTGAAAATGTGAGGAATATCAACCTTCATTCTTTGGGGCAAAAACTACTGATCGTGTGGAGTTAGCGAGAAACTACCCTATACATATATTAATGAATAATTCTTCATTATGTTGTTTTACACCTTCTGAAACTTCCAGTGCTGGACTGGGGCTGGATGAGATTGGTTTAATTTGATATGGCAGCTCCTG